TGTTTGGCCACATTCACGAGCAACGTGGCCTGTGGAACAAGAACGGAGATGGATCCTACAAGGGAGGTGTGGAGTATCGGCCCAGCCCGCACTCCAGGCAGGTCTTCCGGCCCAACGGCCAGCCACCTCAGCACTATCCAGTCGAGGTAGAGTCAAACAATGCCATGGCCAACCAGCCTACAGTGGATCATAGTTGGACAGGCAGATGGGCACCTCAGCACATCGTGGGCCGACCTCGCCTCATCACAGCTACTCGGGGTGGAGACGGCTGGCACTTCAGCTCAGCCCCTTGAAGATGATGCTGCACCCAATCCGGGCGCACCCGCGTTTTGAGCGCGAATACATTTTGAACCGGCCTTGGGGAGCACGCAAGGTGATGCGTTGTTGCATCCAAAAGGATGCCCAATTAGGTTTAGCATATCGGGTTTTCCTGCACATGTTTCCCGTGCATTTGCATGTTTTGTGGCCAAGCGTTTCCGCCGACCGCTGTGCTAGTCACTGTCGACGTGCGCGGCCGCAACTTTTGCGAGAAGCCACAGCAGATGGGTTCCACTCTTCGTTCGAAAGTGGGAAATGCCTGAAATCAAGATCCAGGAGCAATCAATCAACAGGCACCTTTGCCTGTGCGGCAGGATGCGGCTTGAAATTACCTGCTAGCATGCAGAAGCAGATGTCCCACTACATGTTCTTCAGAAGCAGCCTGCCATCCAAGTTCCGCTAAAGGGCGTGTAAAGTCCCACGGTGCAATGGAGAATGCTTCCGTGCGGTTACACATGAGCATAGTATCCGCAAGAGCAGAGACTCTCAACTGGGGCATTTTAGGGTAACCTCGGCAGCGGCACCTGGGACTTTAAAACATGCTGAGATCTAGATTTTGATGCGCCCAACTTGTATAGATCTTGGGACGCCCCCGGAAGGGTCGTGCCAGGTAGGGTCAGGGCCCTCTGCAGGACTTGGTAACCTAGAGACTGGAATGAGTCACGTCGGTTGACTTAAACTTTCGCTGGATATGGCTGGGCATGGCATGTTTCTGTGTCGCGGAAAGAGGCTTGAGTGCAACCTTGTCTGGCCCAGGGCTCCGAAGCCAGAATCTTAACATGTGCCGCAAGCAGTGCAGGGTTGGATTTTATGGGCCGCAATCTTCCGCCTGCGGTTGTATCGCTACTCAATGAGCATAGTGAAGAACGTAGAATTGCAGCCGGAGAACACTTTTTTCAAGCAGCCTGTCTTGCCCGCGGGACTCTACAGATCCTGTACCAGCTTGTACTCATTTGTATTCTACCAACTTGTATCAGCTGGAGAATCATCTTAAACTGCAGTCTGCCACACCAGGAGCTCACGCAGCTATGGCAGAGCGCTCATCCCAATGCCAGCAACCGGAGCAGAACCTTGGACATGGGTTTCTTTCTTAGGAAGCAGCACTCAACATCACTCAACAGTTTTGCCACACATTGTGAATAGCTTAGATACGGATAGCATTGGACTTGTGCCGGGGGACGTGCAGAGATAGATATCTTCCTTTGTGGTCGATGTCATGGGCGCATACAGTAATTTTGGCGTGGGCTTCCTTTCAGAAATCAAGGTGCTTTCCGGGCTGGCCAAGGAAATGCACAGGGTCGCTCGAAAGCTTACTTTCTGTCCATTGAGTGCCGACAAATGCTTCGGGTATTGCTGCGCAAACAGAATTCTATTCGATACCCTGGATGGGTAGGATTGCGTTTCAATGCTGGATGGGGACTTCAGCTACTGGATTGATGGAGGTGAGCTTAAGCAATGTAATCTAGCCTCTACAGCGGGCTGCAGGCCCCTTCAAAGCTGCCTCCACTTCTCAAGGAAATGGAAGGGTTTCGGGAGGCTTGGTCTTCCCATGTCTATTCGATTTTTCTCTTTTGCTGTGAGACTGAGAGATAGAGAGAGAAAGAGGGCAACGGAGTTCGCCCCAACTCCTCTTATGGAGGGGAATATGAGTATAGCGTATTGAAGAAGAAGAGAAAGGGTGGCAGCACTTATTAAGGGCAAGGCCCAGCACGGATGTGTGGGAGATCCCAAAGGTAGGCCACTAGGCCTGCGTCATCGCCCGAACGAAAGACGACAAAAAAGTCGCAGGCGACTAACCACTTCGACTTTTTGTCTGCAATTTTGAGGGCTATTGCTCCACATCATAAATCAAATCAGGACGCACATGGGCGGGCATTCGTGCCCATGCGAACCAGCATAGCCTCACGGCGTTCCAGGCTGCGCAGAACCAGGGCAACACAGAATTCGACAACGTCTAATTTTCCATTTTCTGGCGTAATGCCTCCAAGGCCCGCAAGATCCTGTAAGTCAACAATGACCACTGCCAAGGCGCAGGCGGTGAGACGCCGGAGTCTCTGCGAAGGGCCAAGGAGGTCTGCCTTTCCAAGCCTTTGCAATCATAAATCACACAGTTTGTCGAGTAAGCCGAACCATGCTGTGGAGTTCAAGCTGGTGACTCCTCAAGTGCACTGCAATTGTGTGGGAACTCCTGAGCTTCTTCGACCCACACCTTTGAGGAAGCCAAGGGCTCACCCTGCAAGGATCGTGAAAATCGTGATAACTGTGTCATCAGCGTGTTTATTCGCATCTTGCGCATGTTGTGTGGACTGTCAACTGTAACTGCAGGAGCGTGAGGCCATGAGCACCCTGACCTACGTCACCCGGCAGTTGGTCATGTATGCGGCATCTACATACTTAAAGCTGCGACATGCTTTAGGGCCTAAGGGGTATCGGAGCTGCCCAGGCCTTCTTTCCGCTGGCACTGATCTTGGCGGTGCTCTTCGAGGCCGGTCGGACATATCAGAATATGCCCGTTTTTTTTTTTTTTCTGGCGGCAGACCCTCTGGCACTACACGGGGCTGAAGCTTCAAGATGGACTACCAACCAATGTTGAAGTGCCAGGTAAGGTGTTCTCACAGCTGCAACTGCACGCAGTTGCCTGGCGGGCTGAAATGCCTTCACCCACCACTAAGGGGGCTTTTGTCTATTGATCAACTCTTCACGGCCTTGCTAGATTCCTCCTAGATGCCAAGCAGCGTCAACATTGCTTTCGCCTTGGTTCAATGTCGCCCTATGATCCATCATCTCGCGCGGTTGCGCTGATGCGCGTTCTCTTGGGAGTCATTCGCCTGTGTTGTGCATATCTGAGATTAGCCGCGCAAGATGGTCGTGCGGTTCCCCCCATTGAATCTACGGGAGGACGATAAAGGGTTAGATCCGTTGCCAATCTGACGCTGGCTCTCGGGGCATTCCTTTGTCGAGGATTCAAAGCTTTTTGTGCTACCATTGGCCGCCCTCCCGCAGATCTGCATGGCAGAGAGAGCCCTACACAACAATCCGATAAGCGGAGGTTGCAGAGTTCCATGTCCGATGTAGGACTGTCTTTGATGTTTTTGGACGGGGCCTGCTTTGTATCTCTGGTGCCCAACCCTGAGCCCCAAGCTTTAGATGCTTGTCCCGCCTCTTGCTTCTGCTCAGGCCATGCATTTCCCCTGGGCGGAGGTAGACTGGTCCCTGCCGCTGGACAGGAGCGACGGCCTCGAAGGCAAACGGTGGGTTCATTCGGACTCCAGGGCTATGGCTGATGAACAGAAACTTGATATTCTGAATCTTTGCTAGACTCTCTGCCCAGAGGTTCCGAGAAAGTGGACAACACGTTTGCAGGCTTGACGGTGCTGCAACTGGGCTAAAGCTTGTCAGCATCCAGTCCTCCCCTCTTAGCGCTGCCGTCACCCACTGCAACTCAAGCCATGCACAAAGATAGAAGCATTGTGCTTCTCAAATGTGCTTGGAGACAGATGAAAACCTCAAAAGCCAACGTGTAGGAAAACACACATCTCAGACTGGCGCACCGTGGGTCCGGGCTGGCCACGATCTACTTTGCCAGGGCCTTACGTTAGGAGTTAGGCCAGTTAGGACCAACACCTCACGGCAGAACCTTTGAGAATTATGTCTTGTACATTCTGCGAAGGTGTTTTCAGTAGAGTATTGGGGCAGATTTCGGATTTCCGACTTGTCCGAATGCGTTTCTGATGCAAGCAAGTAACACAAAGATTGGAAAAGATTTCAAAGCAATGGATTTGAAGTCTGCAGCTCACCTCAGTGCTGCATAAGTTCACTCTTACCGCGGATTTTGTTTAGATGTAAGGATATTTTAGGATATCTTAGGATATCTCTATATATATATGTATTAACGTAGGATATCTTAGGATATCTCTATATATATATGTATTAACGTATGAAATCATATAAGGGCTATGCAGGGGATGCATACTGCAACCTGCTGTCGAATTTGCACTTCGCAAGTCACTGCCCAGGCAGGTGCCGGACGTGTCAAAGGCCGCTGTTACCTCGGCCTTCTTGCGGCAGAGCAGCAAAAAGAGGACTGATGGATGCTCTGGTGACAGGCATTCTGGAAAATCCTGTGGAAGCCCAAACTGGCCCAAACATCCGGCAGTTTGGCCAGCAGAACATGTCGAAAAAAGGCAGTTTTGAAAGTTGTAGCACTTCATCGAAGTGAGAGCCCCCCTGTCAGAGGTGGGCATTCACCTCCTGGGAATGTATTTGGACCTTACAATGTTTGATTTCCAGCAGCGGCACCTGGGCTCCTGATGCAGTTTTCAGCTATTTGCTGAGGGTGCTTTGGCTAAGTGTATCTAAAGGTGACATGAAATTCGGAGGCAGTGAATCTGAGCGATCCTGAAGATTCAAGTCGGCTTCAGCAAGTTGCAAGCCAGATGCCTAAAACTAATGCTGGCTGCGTAGGCGGTCACAGAGAAGTATCTCAGCTGGTCAGGCACTGTAGCTGTGAGTTTCTGCAGATCTCAGCGCCACTGTCAATTCCCACCGGACATCGGAGGCTCTCTACCAGGCAGAAGGTGGTGCCAAAATTTTGAGAGAAGCCCTCTACATCATTCACTGTGCCAAGGTACTGGAACCTGTACCAGCAACCCAGTCTGCCGCTGTTCTTCGAGTTGCTCCTTAGAGCAGATCAGAGCATTATAAGTTCTTCCAGGCTAGCATAAAAGTGAAGCTGATGCTATACGTGCTTTGTGTCAGGTTGCGGTTGTGTTTCTGTGTGGCATGAGGTCTGACTTGGCGGACTAGACCCTTCATATTGCTGCACAGACTTGAAACTCTTGAAGCCATCCAAGGATCCGCAACTGGTTCATTCTGCACTTTGCACGCATGATCACCTACGTATATGACTCTCGGTTCCCATATGATGGCAGCTCTTTCATTGCATAGATATATACATATATGTAGATACATATGCATATACATATGAGTAACATCTTTGCCGGAGGCACTCACCTCATTGCGTGATTGCTGCGAGACCAAGGAGTTCTACGTGGAGGACATGTTCTTCCTGCACGCTGGCTGCAGTTGCATTGCGAGATGCTTCTTTCTCAACTAGCTGGCAGGGTCAGGAATCGGGAGGAAGTTTTATCTTCGTATTTATGCTCAACCCAAAGCATTTGTGTGCTGAGGTTGGGCAAGCGTTCTTGTGTCGGTGCAAAATCTCAGCTGGAAGAAGCCCAAGTGATTTGCCCTTTGAGCCAGGCACTGGCGGGACCATTTGACAAGGTACTTTGAAGCAATCTGGGTTCCGAACACCTACATCTTCAAGATGCAGGAAGCTTGCTTGTAATACAAGTTGCCTTTGATCCCGGACAACAAGCACCTGATTTTGCAACAATGGTGTGGTGCGGTGTGATGACCGGGTTACTGTCCTTTGTTTGCGTTGTTCGAAGGTGCTTTGCCGTCAGGTATTGCTGGACTGCAGAGTGTTGCTTTTTGGTCAGCTCAGACTCCCTAATAATTAGTTAGCTCTGTTGCGTGCACCTAGCTGGAAGATCCGGAAGCCTTCCAAGGAAGGGCAGAAGTTTGACAATCCAGACCAGCGCATCCACGTCGACATCGTAAGCTTCATATCGCAGACTTACTCCCTGACTTTTGGAGTCTTGAAGGCTCGCTTTCAGAGCTTGCCATGCATGTGCAAAAGATGCCGATGTGAACACCAGGCAACCTTGAGATTAAGGGTTTGAAGTTCGTCTTGCCTGTCGGCGAAGGGGGCCGCGGTGACATTGAACATGCCTAGAGGGTACATTTTTGCAATGATCAACAACAAGAGCCGCACCAACATGGCTGACACCACCAACCACCACTGCTTCCACTCCCAGTACTCCTAGTGCGGGGTGGCTGGCTCCGAGTTCAGGGCGCAGATTACATATTGGTGAAGGTGCAAAAAAGTTTTGGGGGTAGCATTTGAGTTTGTCTCCTGAGGACGTTTACAACCATTACTCACGTGCCCGCAACAGTGATAATATGTAACAATTGCACATCGTGGAGTCTTTCCTGTTTGTTGTCAGTTCACAAAGCGGAAGCATGTGAAGGACAACTAGAATCTAACTATCTAACTAGAAAGTCCGAAGGTATAAACCGCAATAGCGGCACTGGTACACCAACAGCATGTGTCGCGTAGTTTGCGGTTACCCTTGCATCCGTGAGCCTAATCAGCTTCTGCAGCATGGAAGTTGTCAACCCTGAACAGTGTCACGACGCTCATCGTAATGTGGAAGACAGGAAGGGGCTGAATTGACGTGTAGAAGCTTCTACGCATAAGGTTTAGGACAACCGCCTGCCGTACTCTGTCCGCTAGTCAGACACCGCAGCGATGCTGCTTCCAAGCATGATCATCCCTCGGCTGGCTGATGACCAGCTCAAGTTGATGCAAATTGTTTCATGTGCTTTGCAAAGCCGAAAGGTGACATGACATGTCGATCTAGGTCATCGAGTTTCAAGCTATGCAGAAACCATGCCGGCAGGCATCCCAAAAAGGCTTTTGGACATCTTAAAGCTAAGCTCTCGGTTCGCATCTTGTTGGAAGGTGTTGGTAAACCTCGGGATGTACACCTACATGCTGGCAAAGATCACCCCTGCATCTATGCACTGGTCTTCGCTTGTGGGGACGGTGCCAAGACTTCGATGGGCAGTGCAAGTCTTTTCCGTAGATTCAGCAGAAAGGCTGGGGCTTGGCCAGCCTATAGCAATCTGAGCTCCTTGTTGAACCGCCAAGCCTTACAGAAAGTCGCAGCGCACGTGGGATGTAAGTAAGGGTGGCAGGCAAATCCGAGATTGTTTCAGGAGGCTTGAACTGTTTTCTTCGACTAGCAGATCACAGGTTTGCTAATGTGGTTGATTTCAAGCCTGTGGCACCCCATGAGACTTGGTCCATCCTTTGCTCAGGCGCTTCTTTACTCCACAGCTGGCTCCATAGCAGCTCAGCTGCCATCAAGATGGGTGTGAGAGATGGGGTAGCGAGCCTGAGAGAGTATCACCGCAGCCGTACACAGGACAGTACTTCCGCTGGGTTCGCAATGCTTGCATCGTGCACTAGAGTGGTGTCATACAGTGTTGCCCGGCTGTAGACAGAAGATTGCAGCTGGATGCATGGCTTTCCCTTGAAGATACGCTCGTAAAAAGGTAGGCAGCATTACCCATTCATTGGCACGGTCAAAACAAGGGTCGAGCGAGACTCCAGGCGGGTCTTTGGCTGCAAGGTCATGCACCTCCTGGGCTCTGACTTGGCGCATTTCAGCTGGCCGGACGGTGCTGAGTGATCTCGGTCTAGTAGGTTGAAAATTCAAGGTTTGGTTTGAAGCAGTCGAGGTTGAAATTCAAGGCAAATTTGAGACATTTTGAGACCCAGACTGACTTGCTTGATTGAAAGCCCTTGCAGAGCATGTTGTATTGTTGACAGTGCGTGCGTATTAGATGTTGAAGGTTCAAGCTGCAAAGGTTACAGCGCTCCGACAGGCAGTAATCGTGGACTCACAACCCATGCAGCCGCATGCCCAGACACCCGCCTAGCTTTGCTGCTCACGCTTCAAAACCTATTTAAAGCCCAAGATCTCCCATCAGCTCCCTTTCCTGACGGAGGCTTGGAGAGCGCCTTGGAGGTGACTTTCGCTCGGAGCTGCGGCCACTGGGGCTTCAGATTCGTTCGGACGTTGTGTTCAGAGGTTCAGGAGCCTTCAATTGTACAATTGCCGTCCAGCACACACCTTCGTAGAGCAATGATGGGCGTTCAAGTCCAGCGGTGACCGTTTTTTGTTGGCAAAGTGATACAATTTCCCGGTGGCCACTCGCCGTGAGGTTGTGTTGGGAGGTCTGATTTAGTCGATTTGCATGCTGCTCCTGGGGGTACTGTACTTGTATGCCCAAGTTAAGTTAGTTCCCTTGAACCATCTTGAATTTCAGAACTCTCACCCCTTGACCTGGCTTAGCTCACAAGCCATTATCAACCTCAAGCAATGTCAAGGCGGGTATACGATCAGAGCGAAACTGTGGCCAGCCTCAGATCAGAGGAGGCCATCATGTACCCATTCAATTGTTCGTTTCCATGAAGTCTTTCTGAGCATGTTCCGATTGCATGGAAAGATTGTAAAACGCCGATGGGGTCGGAGTCTGACGCGTGGGCATTATGTTGACCTCAGCAAAGCCGCCTTCTTAACCTGTGAGCCCAAAAGACCCCATCAGTCTTGCGGCCTGCTGTTTAGTTTTTGGTGAGTGGCCGTTCTGGCACATGTGGGCAGTGCAGCAAACTCCCAAACATTTTCAAGTTTGGGTGGAGGCTGAGCTAGGGCGATTGCAGCACAGCTTCGAGCGCATCAAGTTGAACACGTGGCAGCTCGGAGGGCAGAATACATGTGGCAAACGAGTTAGTTGAATAAGCTTCGTTTTTGTTTCTACTACGCGATGGAGGAAGTCAATGCTGTCTACCAAGGGCCAGTGTTGAGGTAAGATGAGGCAAGATGATATCAAGGCACTGCATGTTGGGGAAAGGATCCAGAAGTGAATTGCGACGAGGCTGGTGTTTGTGGATGCCTAGATGGCGCAAGAACCCGCCCTACAAATCGAATCGTGCTAAGTAATCTGTGAATGTGTATTCAGCCTCTTTGCTTCTTGAACCGCCACAAAGACAGAAGGAAGTTATCCAAGTTGTTGGGTTTGCATTGAACAGAGAGCTAATCAAGACCACGACGAGCAAAACATGACGAAGTAATGAAGAACTACAGAAAACTAAGAAGGTAAACACAAGGGGCGGCAAGAGGAATTAAAATCAACTAAGGAGACCATAAAGACTGGAAAAAGAAGCGGTGGAAATCAAATGAGAAGGCTACTTGAAAATACGCGAGCTACATGATGCAAACATTCCAGAAGTAGAGGTCCCAAGACTTGCCCCTTTGTCCGCAGGCCTGATAAGACATCCTTCTAGAGAGATGCTTCTGCGTGCAGCTAGCAACCAGCTATTGCTGTAATCACCTTGAGGAACTAGCAGTAGGGGCTTTGTCGAGGCTGTCCATGCTTCTGGAAAAGCGGCTCAACATCTTCCAGAAGTGGTACAGCCCGCTGAGGGAGGTGCTTTCCTGAACTTGCAGTGCCGTTTTTTCACATTGAGTCGCTGAACCCGGAAATCTCTGATGCGGTTTCTGCTTTCAAAGTATCAGCCACAGGATGTCTTGCTTGGAATTCCAGAAAGGATCCTTGCAATACATTGCTGGCAGTCAGACTGAAGTGAAACGGAGCTGACCCTGAGAACAAGTCGTGACCCGAGCCCTTCCAGTGTATATCCTGCTTCGCATTCCCTGACGGGATGACAGGTCTTGTTCATGTGCCTCCTAGCCCCCTTCTTCATCCGGGGCCAGGTGGGATGAAAGCCCAAGGATTTGAGCGCCAAGTGCTTTTGATGGTGGAAGGTTCAAAGCTTATGTAATAGGGGAACCACCAAAGCTTGCGTGAAGACAGTGCGAGGAGGAAGCTTGGTTTGAGCTTGAGGCATCGTCAAGAAGCGTGAATTTGCAGGACGAAGTCGTTGAGTGCTCAAGTATTCTTCTACCCAGAGATCTTGCTCACTGAAATCACAGCAAGTCTTGACTCTCCAAACTCACCATCGTCTCACTGCCTTTGGTCACATGGATCTGGATTATGCTCCGCCAGCCAGGTCAGCCTCGGCCGGCTGAAGCAGTGCGAGACGGCTTTGGACAGGACTAGGGTTTCTGTGAGACTTGCGACCATTCTGAGGCATCACAGGCCACAGCCATCCACAACTTGTCCCCAAACTTGGAAGAAGGGCGCCCTGTCGCCAGGATCAGTGATGCACTCAGCTTCCTGGCCCGGGGCCTCAGAGGGCTGCAAAGTTGGAAAGGGCACAGCTAGCATCCAGAAATCATGCGTGTCCAGGACATCGCCTGCAACCTAGAGCCATCGCCTTCAGTGGCCCAGAATTTGACTTCGCAGGTTGCGGGGGAACATCCGTACGCGTAGAAGTAGATCACCTACCAGTGTATGGACAACGAGGCAACTATGGCACGTCACGAATCTATTGCACCTCGGTTCCCAGTGCTCGCATCACTTCAATCATGACCCCCATGCCAAGTGTATTTTTGTTTAGTTTGCTAGGTGAAAACGGACCTTTCCTCGCAGAGTGCAGAATTGCAGTTGGACAGCGCAATTTTGCTCTCTCATTAGCGCCACTGTAGTACTCATAATCTATGGCTGAATTCTAGCTTGCCAATCAGAGCCCCTGCGCTACATGCCTCAACCAGAACTGGGCAGGTAGACTTTTGAGATTTCATGCCGTCGCTGTAATCAAGAAGTGTCCATTGTCTTTCGTTTGCTTTGGGATGAGACGTCGGGCATAAATCGTGAGGTGGACAACTACTCCAAGCTCTCAAGCTATCGGGCGACTGTGGACCGTCTTTACAATTTTCGAGCCAGCTGTTTGTCCTACCTGAAGCCGACGAAGGGGGCTGAGGACACCAGCAAGATGACTCCTGTCCACAGCCTCAGGGGGGATTCGGAGCAATTCGCGTGGATTGGTTCTGCATCAGTAATTACCTCAGAAGAAGTTCCTATCTTGCTATTTTCCACTCGAAGGACTTGAGCTCTTGTGAAAGCCTGGTTTGGACCGCCACCAGAGCTGCCAGCTTAAGAGGCCTTCCGAATGAGCCTTTCTTATTTTGTGGGTGATTGGGTGTCTTGCTTCCGGAAAACCCTTGAACTTGTGCCTACAAGCCAAAAACCCAATCCCATTGTACCACTGCCATGCAGACCCCAACGACAAAGCTGCGACCCACAGCCTGCGCAGGACAGCCAGGATGGCATAGACGCTGATGTCATCACGCGCCTTGCCCCACGTGGCATCCCATCACGTTGGCCTCGACTTCTTGGGGGCATCGATTCCAAGGAGCCGCCTGAGGCTGGAGCGCGAGAGGCCGGACTGTTATGCTTACTCCTGAGAAAACCTTGTCATCGGCTTGGGAACCTGGAGGGCATAGACCGACTTTTGATCCAACTCCACCTCATCTTGCTGCAACCATCACAAGCATGATGTGTGCAGCTTCGATGTAATATATCGCTCCGATTGTTCATGTTTCTGATGACAAACCAGGCGATGGCGGTGACTCGTACAGACGCGCTGGAGCTGCAAGTGCGCGGCCTTCGCTTGCCTTCTGGGGAGATTCTTTTCGACCATGTGGATTTTGAGGCGGCCTCAGGCCAGCTGTCTCGCAAGCTTGGACTACTTCCCACGGCCTGTGATACGCTAAAATCTAAAAGTCAGGATTGATCCCCTCGCCCATGGAAACTTGGAAGTTGAGGAGTTTGTAAACGTGGCACTTGGAAGATCGAGGTAGGTTTTTTGGAGAGAGAGGCTTCTCAAAGGAGTGAGGAGGGAAGACAGATGTTGTCCTGCTACCCCAAAGAGCCTTCAAGGGATGCTGCTTTTAGAGAGGACCTTTTTGTACAACTTCGGTTTGTAATGCGAGCATCGACCGTATTGTGCGAGAGTTGTGATTTCTGTAGCACTGTGTTGGCATCTCCTTAAAGGAGCTTGACGGCCTCTCCCATGCAGGTGACATGGTCTTACTGTGCGGAGAAGAGGGTGCTGGCAAATCCACCCTCTTGAGGGCCCTGGCTGGCATTTGGAGTCTTGGTGTGGTTCAGCAATATGTCGTGTTTCGTACGTAGACTAACAATTACTGACTGGATATTCTTTCTGCTTGCCCAACTTTAGAATTGCGAATTGAGGCCCTACATGGACAATCAGGAGGGGTCGGCTGTATGTCGGGAGGATCTGGTGCTTATCCCTCAGAAGCCACGCTTGCCAATGCCAATGACCATGCACGAAGCGGTTGCATTCCCTCACGCTGCGGAGCGCTACACAACGGCCGAAGTCCAAAGTGCATTGGAGCAGGTCGGCTTGGGAGAGTTGATGCTCAAAGGCTTAGCAGCTCGGCGAAACTTTTAGAAGAAGTCCAAGCTTTTGTTGATTTCATGGAGGCTTAAAGGTTTTCTCCTGAACCTGTGCCATTACCTGAGCCAGGATGTCCAGATGGATGTCAACAGCACTTTGTCTGGTGGTGAATTCCAGCGATTGCTAGTGGCCCACTGCCTCGTGGCAAAGCCGTCTTGGGTGCTTCTGGATGAGTCCATGGCTCACATGTCGGCAGGAAGCCGGAGTGAGCTTTACGAGCCTCGCTTGGTGTTCAGTTTTTGAATGTATTATGCAGCTTGAGGTAGGGATGTCGTCACTCAGCATCAGGACGTTTGGCACAAAATGCCAAAGATTCTTGGAATTGCCCTCTTGAATATCCACATGCCTGGTTTTGTGCCAGAAAACGTTCTGTTGCCCAGTGGCTTACGGTGTTACGCTTGATTTTGCGCAGTACTACAGACAGTACGGAACCGCTGTAGAATCTCTCGAGAGAGATCTGGAGCAACAACTCGAAGCTGCCAAATACGTTGTGTTTTTTTGCTTATCGCACGTCTGCCCACTTTTTCTTTGCTTGCGATAACGCTGAACTGACCGCAAACTCTTTTGGAACCTGAGGAGTCCAACTGGCAATAAGCTAGCAAATATCTTGCAAAACATGAACTCATCGTTTGCTGCTCCTTCATGGGCTTCCTGCACCAGCCGGGTGGGCAGTGTCAGGAACAGGGAGACGCGAACCATCAAGCACATGTCTGTGATGCTGAAGGCAGTTTTGGTTCAAAAGCCTCCCGTTCAAAGCGAGACACGTTTAGCTTTTGTCCGCATTAGGCGCTTGTGAATGATGATTATGAGGATTGCGTTGCTGCTTTCCCCTGTCCTGCTGGCAACGGCTTCATCGCCTCAGCCAGACAATGTGACTGCGGGCTCCCCGTTGCCAGCATCGCCAGCCAACTCTACGCAGCAAGTTGCTCCAGGACCCGGACTCAAGGTACGTCGCCAGGGGCTTCCCGAAGAATTCCCCCAGGTTGTTACAATTCTGCATATCAGCGACACTCACTCCT